GATGGGTGCTAGGCGAAAAGAAGTTTAGATTTTTCCTTTTTATTTTTTTGGTCAATTGGTCCCTGTTGGGACGGGCAAAGGAATCTGAGTCCATACAGCCCTGTTTTTTTATTAATATGTTTTACGGCTCTGGATTCTAGTCCTTTTTAAGACAAACGTTGAACAAGTCAAAAACAAAGTATACAACACAACTGTCACGTTTTACAGAATGCCATTGAGTTTACACATCACATCTTCACATCATTTTCAGTTACACAGTAAAATCTTTCTATTCCTATTTTGTTGACAGTATTTACAATGATTTGAATAGTGACTTGAAATACTTGAGATCACTAAGATTTTTCCGGCACGGTGGAATTGCCAGATTGTAGTATTATTACACCATTTAGGCGGAAAATGTTGGTGTTGGTGAGATTTTGTTTTCATAGTAGTTTTCTCTTCACCTATGGTAGTTTTTTCCCGCTGTGGTAGTTTTACCCCACTGTGGTAATTTTTTCCCACTGTGATAGTTTACCACGGTAGATTCCTATGGTAGTTTTGGTAGGTCATTTTCTATGACAGTTTTCTCTCATCAATGGTGGTCTCAACTTCGTTCCAACCGACACTTTCACGGCACTCACGTTTGCTTTTTACATTTCATTTCGAAATAGTGTCATTCTAATGTATTAACTAAAAGTAAATACCTACCGCATTTAATTGTAATTTTTTTTAAATTACTTGCGGACTAATTTGAAAGATTTGTGTCATTTTCAAGAATTGGTTTTTACAGATGACTAAAAGCGAAATTGAGCTATTTCTCATTAGGTACAGTGTCAATTGTCAAATTTTAATCTCCACTCGACGGAATATCTTCAGTATCTGATATGGAGCAATTGAATTGTTCCTAATGGCCACTTACACACGCGTGTGGTATTATTATTATGCTAATAGGTAATAACATAATCGTAAAACGCAAGCGTCTTGCCGCCAAGGGGGGAAGAGTCGGGTTTCAGGCGGCGAGTTGGAATGCTTCATATTTTTATGTTCATAATACGGGGGCAATTTACTAATGAACAATAAGATATGTTTTGAGAATTTGATTCATCCCTGTTTTTCCAAATATGTTTTTTTTATATATATATATTTCTTTGTAAAATACTTAGTTAAACCTTGATAAATATGAACTTAGAAAATGAGCTAAAGATAGTTTTCTGAAAACCCTTTGAGAAGTTGACGATCTATCTAAAAGTTAGAATGTTACAAACTGTTTCCAAAACTGTCCATGTTTGTTAAAATAATTTTGCTATCGTCAGAAAAGGTGTTTGAGACTAGCGCGATTTTTTCTTTAATGTTATGCTTTTGTTTCACTCTTTCCCTATGTAGCATGATAAATATTGACGTGACAACGTCTTAAATTAGGTTGCGGCTGGGAGTCACTTATGAAAAAGTGTAACGCTCGGTAACGTTACGATGAGTTTAAGTTTACATGTACAATGTTTTAGTAAACAAAATATATTTCTATAGTTAAAATTTGTGCAATTCTTATTTTCATTCAATTCCTTGTTCCTATTGTGCAATTTAATTATATTCATATCAATAAATATTCTACCGAGAAAAAGACGTTGTCACGTAAAATCTTCGCCCGTAAAACCGACTTTACAGGCAACCATTTTTTTTTTATTTAGAACTTGCTTTAATCTTCTTCTTCTTCTTTGATTATGGCATGACGGCTAATGTTGCCATTTTCCCATATGCTTGTTATAATCAATAAATAATTCAAAGTGACTGTTCTTTTTTTTATTTATTTACCCATTTTGGGAAGGCAAAGGGTACTGTGCCCATACAGCCAATTCTTAAGTTTAGTGACTGATCTATTTTAAAAGTTTAAAATTTTGAAAACCTTTCGCTTCGACCTCTTTTGTTTATTTCATAGAATCGAAGCAGCTAAACCTTTTTGCTGCCGCTCAAGCCACTATATAATAAAGTATAGTAAAGCGACGTTGTGTGTCGAAAGTGAAACCTCAGCGATTCATGGCATTAATCTCTAAAATAGTTTTAACAGTGGCGAGCTCGGAACAATTAATTTCGTCCCAAAAGTGGCAGCAGCAACGCGCCTCAAGTGGTCACATTATGGAAACGGCCAGTCATCTCTCATGGGGCCAACTAATTATGGTTTAATAATGAATTTTAATTATAACGAAACGCGTGTGACGTCATCAATCACTGAACCGCCATGAAACGAAATCTTTGAGATGTGTGTTATAAATTTTCAAATTACCTATCCTTATTTTTTTATGGGAAATCTCCTTGATTTGGTTTTCCTTAACAATACTTTAATCCCACATAAATCAAATTTAAAAGCTAACAATGTTTTTACCGTTTCTCTAATTGACTTTAAACAAATGATAAATGTGGAATAGTGTGTTAAACATTAATTAATCCTTAATTTCAATTAAGAATATGACTAAAGAATAATGGCGGAAATGGCTTTCAAATCCTAAAAGTAACCGGATTGTATTTAAAGAAGAAATTACCAGTCTTAAGTAGAATGTTAAACAATAGATACTGTATACTTAGTTACCGCCAAAATGTATAGTTATAATAAATTTTCGGCACAGATAAGGTGCGTCTTAGGTAGAACAGGCCTAATCTAAGGGTTGGCGTTATCTATGCTAATTGCGGGTAGTGGAGGGTTAATATTTCATCCGGTCGCGTGGCCGGCCATTTTGACCTGAGTGCAGTAACGACATTTATTTATCAAACCTATTTTGTATAAACTGCTCACATTAATGTAACGTTTTGTGGGTTCGTTCTGACGGTAAATTATTAGGTTGGCGAATTTGGTAGGGAATTCTGATGACTTCTTGTGTGTCTAGTGACTAATCTTTATATATATAATTCTTCTGTGAGTGTGTATGTCACTGAACTTCTCTTAAACGACTAGACCGATTTTGATGAATTTTTTTGTGTGTGTTCAAGGGGATCTGAGAATGGTTTAGATTCACAATTTTGTCCGCTGGACAACCCCTATTTTTTTAGGGCGGTACGAAGTTCGCTGGGTCAGCTATTTTATATTACATGTGCATGAATTAGTTATAATGTCTACAATTTATAACGCTCATACAAGCACATACTGTGATACAAGTATAATGTTTAACAACTACCGACTAAACATCTTAAAGGTAGGCATTGAGATTAATGTTGATTTATTTGATTGTTAGAAAAAAAAAAACGTAGTGTGGGGGCGCCCTGAGACAAGATGGGATGATGACATTCGTAGGCTGGCTGATGTGAGCTGGATGAGAGTGGCAGAAAATCGGGAGCAGTGGCGTGCATTGGGGGAGACCTATGTCCAGCAGTGGACGAACATGGGTCGATGATGATGATGATGACGATGAATAAAAAATAAATGAAATCAAAGAGGTGTTAATAAAACTAATAACTTACTGAAAAATAAATCGTTCCAAACTCAAACTGTATCAGTAATTACTTTAAGTTGAATATAGAATTTCCAAAATGTTCCAGTTTCGAATTATTTTTCAAATTAGTCTTATATTTTTGAAAGAGGAACCACGTTTACTTTCTCTGTGGAATCATAAAAACACCTTTTGCAGATGGCCCTCTTTGGCTAGAGACCTACTGGACCTACTAGGTCGGTGTCACACTCACTCAAGTGTGGCGACAATGCTTACTCTCCCACAAAATCCCGTCCAGGGTGGTCCCGATGACCATATGACCCATTTTTTGTTTCTACTCTTTGATTTTTTAGTAGTTTTCGCACATCACCTGTTAGAAGCCTTACATACTTTTTGCGTAGCTTGCATCTGTGCTGTTTTTTTCCTACTTTCACTTAGAATAAAACCATTCAGAACTAGAAATAATTTCTATCGTCATAAGCATTTGCAGGCACTTATTGACGTCATACATAAACAGTTTTTTTTTAAATAAAATTTCATTAGACAGCATTGTTAAATTAAAAGGGGTTAAGTTATTTGATGAGTAAAGTTTTATTAAGCAATTACTTGATTGGATTTAGGTTAAGCTTCTGTTTCTTTTAATTGAGCTGAACTTTATTTGGTATGGAGGAAACATCAAAATCGATTTAGGTTTTTCGCGTAACAACGCGAAAAACCTAAATAGACCAATAGACAGAGAAATCGCCGAATGGACAGACAAACATTTTCTTACACATTTAACAATATTAGTATGAATTGATAAAGTATGATAGCTCAGAAAACAGCCATCTCAAGTTACTGGTCGGCTATTGGCTCAGATCAGACACGCTCCAATGTGATTACTCAAAATGAGTCTGCATTATAGCTCTACATTGCTAACAAACACGCGAGATCGCCATATAGCAATACATATAGATACATACATACATATATTATGTCTAAATTCCTGTGGAGTTGTTCTTCGAGGAATAATTTTAGCTAAATCGAAGTCTATTCGAATGAATATTTTCAACTGCATCTAAATATTCGATTGTTTTTACAAAACTATACAAAACGATAAAAAACACATTTTTAGCATAAATATGTTTGTGCTATTCTTAATTCAAATGAAATGAGAATTCAAGTCACGACCATGGTACGCTATTAAAACTATTATTGCATAGATACGATGTGTTAATTTTTATGCAACTAAATAAAATGGCAAAGTGATAAATACGAATCCTTAATTGTTACATCAAAATTTCTGTAGTACGGTAAATATTATAAAATTTGTATGTTTGCACATTTTTGATTCAATGACGCACTAACAACTGTACGGACGTACTAGGATAAAGAAAGCTTTTTATAGTTACCGGAAAATGATAGATCCCTGTCGTTTAATCAAACACTAAGAAATTTTAACAGTATTATATTTATTTACTTTGGTATTATAGTGCAAGTCAACATTAAAAATATTTCAAAATTAAAAGATATCTGTCTTCGTTTGGTTTGGCAGTCATCTAGTTTCTGTAACGCTGGACGACATAAAGTTTGCCTACTTTAGAAGAAAAAAATATTTGAAAACAGGATGCGCAGATTTGGGATTTGAAATTCGAGCAGGATGTTGCTTCTGAGAGGGATGTTGACCCGTCCCACGACCCGACAGGTGACGTCACGTACGGCCTAGGAGTGTCTCCGAATACGAACCTTATTTTTATTAGCTTTAGAGTGTTTAATTGAGGGCACAGCACCGAATGCACGTCTTAGCGCACCCCGTGGGAATGCAAAAATCATGGGTATCTACGGAAATTCTTTTTTTGAAATTTTGAACATTCTCCAAGATTTCCGTTGCACAATCGATTGTGGGGTGATATATTGCCTATTTTGAATTAGGAATACGCATTAGATGTTCCATTGTGGAATTTTGCATGTTAGGGGAAGAAATAATCATAGTATTGTGTTCTACGATGATGAATAATGACAGAATTGCATATTTTAATCTCCTATTTTATTATCCAAATAAGAAAAGGCATAATGACCGTGTGATATTTAGCATAAAGGAGACATTTATATTTCTTCTAAAATGCTGACTACAAGCAAAGCACAAAATATTTTTCTCCAAAGACAGTACCTAATCAATACAGATGGGTCGCATATATTTTTTCGTATATAATGTTTGTTTATTGATCTTTTCATCTGACCGGTTTTAATTCATAAACTATACTTAAATTAATAAGTAAAAATGGTACCTACCTAATTTTAAAACTCGATCCAAATATTGTAGACCGTATTCATTACCATTTAATTATATTGAATGTTATGAAAATAAAATAAAAGAAATGGATAATCACATGCCAGATTGAGGCAAAATAGATGAAGTATGTTATTTTATATTTAAGTACTTATTGTACTCTATTTTTGGTGATTCAATAAAATTCAATTCAATTCAACACCCCATTTTAGACTACGAACGGCGATTCAAACCAACTTTTTTCTTTAAAACAAAAACAAAACACTGCTTACTAGTTCAGCTTATTCTTCGTTTATTAATCAACTAGCTGTGCCCCGCGGTGTTACCCGCGGTTTATTAGGATTATTTTTCCGCAGGTAAACGTAGCCTATGTATTAATCCAGGGTATCAGCTAACTCCATAGCAAATTAATTAAAATCGCTACAGCCGTTTAGACGTGAAGAAATAACAAACATACACACTCACAAACTTTCGCCTTTTTAATATTAGTGTGATAAGGGGGTAATAGTTATAACACCATGTAGCATTCTTATATGTTTTGACTAAACTGTTAAATAAATTATTATGAATATAACAAAGATATTTTTACTTAAAAATATTCTTCTTATCCCAGTTACCTATCAGGCTGGATTTTAGATAAAGAAATATTTAGCATTTTAATGCTTAACATAAAAAATGTTTTAAAAAACAATTTTATTCTAAATTACTAAATTTATTATTATATTAATTAAGAACTTAGTTATTTGATTACTAAGTATGTCATATTTCACTTGATCTGTATAATATATTAGAAATAAATATTTAAGTACTTAATTGTTTAATTTTAGTAATCGGAACATTTCTGCCTCCGATATCGGTACAACTACATTAAATTAACAGGCAAGCGTTAAAATGTTCTACATTATTTGTATTGCAACGGCTACAGCGGGCTAATCCCACGGGTGCAACGGTCATCCCTGACCCCTCTCTGTTCACTATTGGGGTAAGATGCAAGGGATGACTAGTATTATAACGAGCAATGCTTGTCAAACCTTTAAACGGTTTCTAACTACCGTTCTAATTAAACGTTTAAACCTCAGACTGATTTTTCTGAAGTTTTGACTGATTTCTACTGTTTGCAACAAAACCTTTTTACAGAGAAGTTAAAAATAATGAAAATAATACTAGGGGAACCTTTACTAATGTTGACCTTCCCACAATGATTCCCTCATTTACCCTTTTGTATTTACACTCAAATATAAAGAAAATTATTTGTTAAATATTAAACAGATATCTTTTTATTATTATTTGATGGCAGTACTTCAATATTCAGTAGAATTTTGTAGATCTAGATGTACACATGTTTTTTTTTAAGTTTGATTGTCGCCTGTTCGTACATGCTACGAAAAAGCGGCTTTTTTGAAGTAATTAAGGGATAGGTGTTTTGAAACACGTTGTTTTCTAACTTAATGTTTCATTTTTTCGACTCTCGAAAATATAACTATTGCATAGATAAAACTTGTATTTTAGCAGAGTTTTACTTAAAATTAAATCATCAAAAATTTGTTGTACCATTCTTTGCTATAATCTCTCTCTGGTACAGTATGCCAATCATTATGTATTTGAAACTTTTTCTGTTGATTCTGAAATATTTTAATACATTTTAATATTGAGCATTTTAAAGTCGTTTTTATCTTGATAGTGAAACCCTTATTTAGTAATATTGTGGAATTATACTCCATAAAAAACTAATAATGAATTTACTATAGATAAATAAATAAATTATTCCGCTTAAAGGGCCAGATTTAATATAGTCGACCCTACTACGGGTGAGAGGCGAGGGATGACCAGTAGCGAGCAGTGGTTGTCAAACCTATAAACAGTTCTTTAATACAGTTTTCTACTGTTTGTAACGCAACATTTTTTACAAAAAAATTGAAAAATAAGGAAAAAATACTAATTCGGGTGAAACGCGAGGGATGTCCAGTGTTGCAGCGAGAAATGGGTGTCAAATCTTTAAATGATTCTTAAAAAGTTATCGAATTTAAACGTTGAAGAATATTTTTAAATGTTTGCAACAAAACGTCCCTGCAGAAAAATAAAAAAAAAATCTGCATAAAAATAAATTGGGTAATTAATTGTATCAGTAGTAGAAAAAGTATCGAGTTTTTGGTGCCACATCATCGAGAATAGTTGGTATCTTAATTAACAATAAACTAGAAACGTTTACTGCATATCATTTCAATTAATAATTAATAAACAGATAACATACCTATACTATGTAATACAAAAGTATCATTAGCAACGTTGAAAATTAAATATTCTAAAATTTTATTAAATACTTAATTCAGTGTTTTTTTTCGAAATATAAAAAAATATTTTATTGATATGCTCCAATACAATGCATTGGACAATAAAAGAAGATTTTGAACGGAACGCAGGAAGTGCTATATCTACCGTCTCTTTCACTCCCAAAGCGTCGAATGTTGCTCTCTCGCTCCGATGTAATACCAGTTTTGGCACGACAAGCAGTTATTATCAGTGAATGTAAGTGGGTTTTGTATTGACCATAGACATTCGAAACGTATGTAGTTGACAGAAAAGTTAAAAAACCCTTTTTTTCTGCTGATCTTTTGAATAAAATGTATTTATTTATGATGATAAAGACTTGGTATTTTGGATTTGTTTATTATTATAGTAATTTATGTTATTGCTACCGTTTATCTTATTTGTAGAGGCTAGCGAGTTTCCGAAAACAGGGCACGTGGTAGCTATCCTGTAAATTAAATAAATTGCTATAATATTACTGACCATGAGAGTTCAAAACAATAAATTGTTTTTAATTATTTGTTATTTTGTCTTTTAGTCACATTTTCATAAGATAACTTCACGTTACGTGCTTGAAATAGTAAAAACATAGATTCAATTAAAAATACTTTAATTTCAAGCTTCCATGTCCACTTTAAATGATTTCATATTTGGCATTAATAGTCCAGTCCCTGTAGCATGAGCACCACAATTTATATAATATCACGATTTTTATCACGTCGGACTGTCAAACTCCATAGTAATTTGACAGTTGAGCGTGATAAAACCGCGTTATATATCATATCGCGGTGTTCATACTAGGGGGGGCTGGACTAGAAGCGAATTAAAAACGAAGAATGTGCCAGTGTTAAAGTTAGATGCTGGCACATTCTTAATTTGTTTTGCTACGCACAGTGATGTTAAGTAATGATTCCGAACTACAGCTCACATCTAACAATAAATTGCCAAATACAACATCGCTTGGAGTTTTTCCTAGGAGTCAAAGAAAAAAAAATGCACTTAAACTTTTCAATGGAAACGTGTTTTTGTCATTTCTATACATTTTGCCTTCTATTCCTTCCATATAAATGTTATGGGCTATCGTAAGGCGACAGGTGACTCCTGTTCGGTTATATTATAAATATTGAATAAGATCATCACATTTTTGTATACCTTAATTAGGAGGACCTTTTATGTATGCAGATACTATCGACACCACATCGACGGGTACAATTCGGCAATCACCTTTATTTTATCGTGATGAATTGTGAATATTTAATTGTAGTTTCTTTAACTGTACTTCATTATTATCAGCTTATTATGAATAATAATAATAAAAAATGAAGCCAAAGAGCACAATAGTGCACTTTGTTCGGGGCTATGAAAGGAATATTGTTTTTTAATGTTAAGTTTATTGTTTTCTTAATAATATCTAATTTTCGTTCCATAAAAAGTGTTTTACTTTTAGCACTTTTTGACATTTTAGATGATTTAAAATCATTACGAAGAAGTCATATTACTTAATATTTATCATATAGGTATATGTTATATAGTTTGTATACCAGTCCCATGGCACATCCTCTATACGTTCAATAATAGTATGTTACTCGTATGTTGATTACATATTGGCAATATCAGCTGTTGGCAAGTTTATTGTCTCTTAACCACAGTGTGTAGCAGAGTACTTTAATGCAGAATTAAACATACTGAGTCAGTAGCTATAGCGCAGCTATTCATAATATTTTCTTAAATTAATCATAAAGCTGCGTATACGCTAAACGAGCCGTGCATTTTGATATTTATAATCTAACTTACTTGTAATTCCTACTTACCGGATCTTGAATGAAAATCAAAAAGGATCAGCTTTCTCTGTAACCTATATGAAAAAACACAGACATCTATTGATCCATACAAAATTCTCTCTAAAGAGTACTATCCCAAAGTTACACATATACAAAGTTGCAGACAGACACTAGTAATAACAAAACGTCGAAGCTGTAAGCTCCAAACCACGAAGTGTTCACATCAAACCGTCTAAGATGCTATAGTTGGCCGTATGTAGTGGTAAATCAATACTATTATCTCAAAACCACTATAAAAATGAGTAATACCGACCAACTCGACAATTC